ACAGTCCGTGTTGATGGTATTAATGCTTTCCGGCTTCTTAGTCATCGTTGTTAAAGAGGTTTAACCACCAAGGAACCCCCAGAGATTTGTGTGATGATTTCCTAAAGACATAAGAAATCTGGCTTAATGTCAGAGGAGTGCTCAAAAAGAGCTCTCTGAAAAAACTGTAGCCTTTCCCAATGCATTTCAAAACACTATCTTGGTGACTCAAGTCTACAGCTTTCAATTTACATAAGTAAACAGATGAGTCACAGACACAGGGCGTGATGTTTGGGAAGAACAGTGTGCTGGGCCCCTTTTTGCAAAGGAGGAAAGAGGAGCTGATGGAGGTTAAGTGGAAAAAGACGTCATGGATATATTAAAAATAGAATCACAGAATTTATGGTAAAGCTATTTGGAGAAAATGGAACAGGCTGAACGGTTCTATGCTGGCTCAAAGACGATTGTCTTAACTTTAAGGATCCCATGAGGGATCTTCATTCATTCATTTTATTTTTTTGGCGGTACGCGGGCCTCTCACTGTTGTGGCCTCTCCCGTTGCAGAGCACAGGCTCCAGACGCGCAGGCTCAGCGGCCATGGCCCACGGGCCCAGCCGCTCCGCAGCATGTGGCATCTTCCCAGACCGGGGCACGAACCCATGTCCCCTGCATCAGCAGGCAGACTCCCAACCACTGCGCCACCAGGGAAGCCCCATTTATTTATTTTAAAATTTCATTTCATTTATTTATTTTTTATACAGCAGGTTCTTATCAATTATCCATTTTATACATATTAGTGTGCACATGTCAATCCCAATCTCCCTGTTCATCACACCACCAGCCCCACCACCGCTTTCCCCCCTTGGCGTTCCTACGTTTGTTCGCTACATCTGTGTCTCTATTTCTGCCTTGCAAACCGGTTCATCTGTACCATTTTTCTAGGTTCCATATATATGTGTTAACATATGGTATTTGTTTTCTCTTTCTGACTTACTTCACTCTGTATGACAGTCTCTAGGTCCATCCATGTCTATACAAATGACCCAATTCCATTCCTGTGGCAGGAGCAAAACCTTGCTGAATCCTTTGAAAGAAATGAATTTGCCAATGGATTAAATCACTTAATTTGGCATTATTGAAACAAATGTTGAGAACTACTGATACCTTTAGCCATATCTGTAGGGACTGCTCAGTATCCACATTGTTGGGCTTGATGAGCTTCCTGACCCAGTTGGAGATGCTGCAGAAATGAAATGCATCTACCAGTTCCTCAGAAAGAGTTTTTCCCAGCTGATTGCATTGAGGTGTTCTTTTTTTCCTCTCCATCCTCCTTTATTTTATAAGCCCAGAAATCTTTGATTTGCTTGATTTTACCAGGTCATTTGTTTCTATATGCTTAGGATAAAAAAGTTGTCAGTATATTGTAAGCTAATAGACAAAGGTATTTGTTATGCCATCATTTCCTCTTTTCTCTTGAAAATGGTTCTGCTTTCTATCTTGTACTAACCATGTCAAGTCCACTATTGCCCCATAATTTACCTCTCACTTCCCAAACTATTTATTTATTAGAAAACCAATTCCAACAGATTTACAAGAAATACAGCTAAGAATTTTAGAGGACTTGTAGGAGATCTCACTGCAACAATGACAGATGTTCAATTGTTGTTAATTACGGACAGGGTTTAAACTGCACTGGTTCCCTAAGGTTATTAACAGGTATACAGTGATGACAGTTTCTACCATATGGACTTTCTTTCAGGACTGTTTTCGAATGAAAAGTAGGATACACATATTAAAAGGCTGTAGTAGTTTTTCATTGCCGCCGTAACAAATTAACACAAATCTGATGGCTGAAACCAATACAAATTTATTATCTTATGGTTCTACAGGTTATAAATCTTATACAGGTTTTGCTGCAATGAAATCAAGGTGTCATCAGGGTTGTGTCCTTTCTGGAGGCTCTAGGGGAGAATGCACTTACTTGCCTTTTCTGTCTTCTAGAGGTCACCCTCGTTCCTTGGTCCATGACCCTTTCCTCCATCATCAAGGTCAGCGACCACCTGTGGAGTTTGCACAAGCCTCACTCTGACTTGATTTCACAGATATCCCTCTGACTGTCTTATTCTGTCTCCACCTTCCACTTTTAAGGATCTTTCTGATTACACTGGGCCACCCCATCATCCAGGGTAATCTGTAACTTCATCATATCATCAAAGTGCCCTTTTCCCATGTAAGGTGACATAGTCACAGGGTGTGGAGATTAGGCTGTGGACACTTTGGGAGCCATTACCACAAAGGTATTCAGTTGAATTTCTTTACCTCTAAACCTTATCTGAATCATCCAGGATCTTAGTAAATCTGCCCTATCATCCACTGGCTTCCATATTAGCCAAATTTCTTTAAATTTGCTTGTAATGAAGGAACGATTGACTTTGTAATATAATCTTTCTGTTAAATGGCATCTCTAAAGTTAGCCCCTGCCCTAAGGAAGGTGAGAGAACAACTCACAGTTCCAAGGATAGGTCTTATATGGAACAATGACCTGCCCCCATATTCCCCCCAAAACAGAGGATGTGAATATTTGTTGCATTCACACAGCCAAGTCAAGAAATCCATGCATGTTAATTCACTCTGGAGTATGATTCATTTGCATGGCTTGGCTCTAACCACGGGAAATAAATTATATAATTGTTACTAAATCCTCACCTTTGATTCTATATAAAAGGAATCTGCACAGGAATTATGCATTTTTTGAATATATACACTAGTTTGATATACATCGTCTAGTTATCTTCCTTATTCAATATTTCACAAACTGCCTCATATATAATAAAGCAAGAATCAGCAGACTATGGCCCACAGGTCAAATCTGGCCTATAAGCTAAGAATGGTTGTTACATTGTTCAGTGGCTGAAAAAACATCAAAAAAGAATAATATGTTGTTATGCAGAAAAATTACATGAAATGCAAGTTGTGTCTGTAAGTAAAGTGTAGTTGGAACATATCACACAGGGCTGCTTTGGGGCTACAAGGGCAGAGGTGAACAGTGGCAACAGAGACGATATGATGTGACTCATAAACCCTAAAATATTTCTATCTGGCTTTTCATTGTCCAAGTTTGTCCACTAACACAAAAGTGACATTTTTTGGTAGGTAAGTATTTGGGAGATATGGCGGTGAAAGGGGGATTTGTTTATGTGCATTGCTAATGTTGATATGGAACTAAAATGTACCTCCACCTAGTTTTTGAAATCAGAACCACTCCAAGAGAATCTAGTTAAGGATAAACAATATTTTTAAAGCAACAGCAAAATAAACATGGATTTCAGTTATAAAAATTTTAGTAAGTAGATATAGGTGAGCTGGATCAATGTGGGTTTCTGAATCCAGAACTTACTTCTCTCTTGGCCATTGTCACTATTAGGCAAAGAGGTATGTGACTTTTTTCTAATAGAATTTGTAATGTAATCTCACCAGGAAAAGAAAGGTGGCAGAAGGAGCCTTCAAAAAAAATATTAGAATGATGAAATGTTTTTTTGAATCAGTCGTATCCAGCTTCACCAGTCGGTGCTACATAAATCCAAGCAAAGAGTAAGATCTGAGTAATGTATTTCCTCTTACAGAAGATTATTTCAAACAGTGACACAAACACTGTTGCAATTGGTTCCAGTCAAGGTTTGGCTTTTCACTTTGAATGGATACTGCACATTTTAAACCTGAGAGTTGAAATTGAGCACCCTGACATCAGGAAGCTTACCTACATATTTCACTGGATGCAGCTTTTCCTCCAGGTAAAAGTAGGAGTAACTAGGGAAATGCTCTACACAGCCAACCCGTGCCTAGCAAATTCCAGGCATAGAGTACAATTTCCAGCAGTGGAAATCGCCAGCCAGCCCGCAAAGGGCCCCACCAGTTTCAGCTTCAGGGCAATTTGTGAATCCCTGATATATCATCTGCACGACTAAGCATCATTTTGAGAATAGTTTTACAGCTGAGATGCAAAATAATTATACAATGTGTAACCCCATGTAAGTAGCTTTAGGAGCATTTACACGTGCATCTATACCATCTCTTTAAACACCTTGATCTAGGTCTTTTCAAGTCCAGTTTACAGACTGGAAAACTGAGGTTCAGAAAAGATAACCCAGGGATATAGTGCCTCAACTAGTGCAAGTGGAGCCAACACACAATCGTCTGTCTGAAGCATCCAATCCAGTGGTACTTAGACCACTGTCCAGAACGGAATGCATCACATCATCTCGAACAATCAAGAGCTCCTCTGCCTGAGAAGGCATGCACTCCTTAGCAATGACACAAAGTTTTCAATAGTAGGAAGTAAATGACTTGCTTTTTCTGACAACCAGAGTGCACACTGTAAGTGGACTGGATATTTTCAACAGCTTAACCAGAGATTGATCCTGTCTTACTTTTGAAAGATTTAATTTTGTTTAATATGCTACTTTACTCACACATGATTTTATTCCATGTTGAATCTCTTTGACAGTTCTTGTCACTAATCTCATAAACAACCCTCTTCTTCAATTGAGTAGGAAAAGGCCCAGGTTGTGAATCTGCAGATGAGGCCCTGGAAACCTTGGATGTTGTCAGTTATCTGAGTCGACTTCAGATGAAACCGAATTGCCAAGAGTTCAAATAGTGAAGGGCAGACTTGTTTCATTTGCCTATCTTTTCCTTTTGTAATTCATTATGATCGAGGTCCTGATAAGAAGAAATAAGAGATCAAAAGAATATCTGCTCATTTAATCATCATTAATAAAGAACAATCAAAACGTCCAATATTTGTGAAAGCCTTTATTCCATCAAGGATGAATATAGCATTTCTTGGTGGGCAAAGATAAAATTACCTGAAGTGCTTCAATCTGGAAATGCAGCTAATAAATGGCGTCTGTTTTAGGCAACTCTACATAAAGACTGTCGGCGCTCAGTTGTAAAATCGGGTTTGAGATGGGACATTTGCGCTGCTGGTTTACAAGACAGATTTTCTTCATTCTCTCTTCCAGGCTGACGGGCATGAACCTCCCTTCTCCTGTTATCAGTAGCAAGAATTGGTTACGACTCCATTTCACATCCGACAGTAACCATCGACGGAAAGGATTTAATGCTCAGTTTCAAGGTAAGGAGGCTCGTCGTATATAAAAAAAAAAAAAAGGTATTCACACTGCATAAATGCAACTACCTGATTTAGTGATTTACACATAAGGGGACCTCAAAACAGAAATGGCAGATTGTCTGTAGCCAGGTAAAACAGAGAGTCTGTAGTCAATAGTATGTAGGGTTGATTCTGAAACTTTCTCTTTCTCTCTAATTTCCAGGGTTTATTCCTGGAGAGTATTGTATAGTCTCCTATATATTTCTAATAATCAATCATTGTTATCAATACTGTGAACAGGTTGATGGAAACTATTCCACATGCATCTGCAAATAAAACTAGTATGGCGCTGTCAGAAAGCTAGATGCTGTGCCAAGCAAACTTCTCCAGCTTTCCCCAAATCATGGCCGTGAGAATGCCGGTTCAATTAAGGCAGAATTCCCTGAACACTTGCCACAGGGAAGCTGGGACCACAAAGTGAGGAAATTATGACAACCCCCATGCTCCAGAAACTAGCAGATCAGAAAGATAATTTGTAAACAGCTCCCATGAAAGATGGAACAGAAAGAGAATCATGGGAGCCACTTAAGGAGGTTTTAGTAATATTCCAACAAGTGGCTCTGAATGACTCCTATCTGAAACACATTTTAAAATCTGTAATGCCTTCACTCTGTCCTTTTGGGCAAGAAGTTAAAAAAAGATGAGTAATCTTCAGGGATTTAAATACAGATGATGCTGAGGACACATGTGTTGAGTTTTATCTGCCACTGGGATCCTTGGGGCTTGTGAAGCCTCATGGAACGTGCCTGACTTGGAGTCCAGGGACAATTTTATTTCACCAAAATGCATTTTATTCATAAGGCACATTGTCCACCCCTCAGTTTCTTCCGATGCGGCCGGAAAGCCCTTGGATTGCAAATATACTGCCTTGAAGCTTGGTAAGAGTCATAGTAATTTGTTTTCACTTATTCTGGGACCCGGGCAAGGCCAATCTTTTTCTTCCCATACCTGCCTTTGTGTGCCTTTATCTTTCAAGGCCACATATTCTAACTGTAGTTATAGGAGAACAGGGATGGAAAGGACATATCAGTGGGGACTGGGGTCACTAGGTGATATAGTGGTGGGGGATGAGGAATACACCACTCAGTCTCGTAGGAAATTCTGAGTCTTCTCCATATTACTGCACATCAACAGATACACCTATCCCTGATTTAAAGCCATCGTAGATCACTATTTGTAATAACAATTGACTGATCAGACAGGTAGGTAGGTAGATCTATAGCGTTATTTCTAAACTGGTGATCAATCTTCTCCAAAGGTCCTGATTAGTTGATTGGTATGGAACTACAGAAAAATTTCTAGGTATCATCCTCTAAACCTGATCAGTGGATTTGGCATCTGTACCAGTGATTGGAAGAAAGGTGAAAAATAGAATATCAAGTTTGAAGATACTCTAAATTGGTAGATATAAGAAACAATTGTAATAGTTTAGACATATCAGCCATTGATGATATATATAAGCCGTGATTAGAAAAATCTGTACATAAGTCCCAAGAGATAAAAAGATGCAAAAATATAAGGAGGGGTAAACATGGCTTAACAGCGATACACGAGGAAACCTCTTCAGGCTGACTTTGAAGTTCAAGTCCAAGACTAAATGGGGGGAGGGAGCTGCCTTTTGTTTCATTCACCTCAGGCCTGGTATCACAGGAGGGGTCATGACTAAGGCTGAATCTCAGCCGACCATACGTGGAAGGTCAGATTCAGTACCGGATGTCACCCTTTTGTGGCATAACAGAGAGCACCTGTCAACGCCAGGCGGGAAGGCATTATGAGAATTTTTCTGGCTCCTGAGGGCAGAACTATCACCCATGAATAGAAGCTACGGGTGGTCCGTCCTGCTGATTCTAGAACAAGCCTGAGGGCAGAGGAAGGCAGGAGGCAAGTTATGGCTCAGGATGAGCCTCTCAGAGCCCCTGGCAGCTGTCCCACTGACCACCTCCTCTAGACACCACTCTGCCCTGACTTTGCAGCTGAGAGGCCTCAATGTTTTCACTCTGAGGACAAATGAGGGGAAAGCTTCCTGTCCTGTAGGAAAGTGTGTTATTCCTGTAAATTTTTGCTTTTTTTTCTGCCGGGATTGAACATCAGGAAGCCCCAATTTATATTGTACTTTATTTCAACCAGAGAAACTCAGGGGAAAAAACACTGTTGTTATTACCAACACAATTGCTAAAAAGAAAAGCAGAGTAAAAGAGCAATCTAGAAAAGCAGCAAGAACAATAATAACAGTAAAAACACACAGTGTCTACTAAAAGCTCATTTAATATCTATGTAAATATTCTGTCAAAACCCCAGATAGCCAAAGCAATTTTGAGAAAGAAAAACAGAGCTGGAGGAATCAGGCTCCTGGGCTTCAGACTATACTACAAAGTTACAGTAATCAAGACAGTATGGTACTGGCACAAAAACAGAAATATAGATCAGTGGAACAGGATAGAAAGCCCAGAGATAAACCCACGCACTATGGTCACCTTATCTTTGATAAAGGAGGCAAGAATATACAGTGGAGAAAAGACAGCCTCTTCAACAAGTGGTGCTGGGAAAACCGGACAGCTACACATAAAAGAATGAAATTAGAGCACTCGCTAACACCATACACAAAAATAAACTCAAAATGGAATAAAGACCTAAATGTAAGGCCAGACACTCTAAAACTCTTAGAGGAAAACATAGGCAGAACACTTTATGACATAAATCACAGCAAGATCCTTTTAGACCCACCTCCTAGAGAAATGGAAATAAACATAAATAAACAAATGAGACCTAATGAAACTTAAAAGCTTTTGCACAGCAAAGGAAACCATAAACAAGACAAAAAGAGCCCTCAGAATGGGAGAAAATATTTGCAAATGAAGCAACTGACAAAGGATTAATCTCCAAAATTTATAAGCAGCTCATGTAGCTCAATATCAAAAAAACAAACAACCCAATTTAAAAAATGGGCAGAAGACATAAGTAGACATTTCACCAAGGAAGACATACAGATGGCCAAGAGGCACAAGAAAAGATGCCCAACATCACTCATTAGAGAAATGCAAATCAAAACTACAATGAGGTATCACCTCACACCAGTCAGAATGGCCATCATCAAAAATCTACAAACAATAAACGCTGGAGAGGGTGTGGAGAAAAGGGAACCCTCTTGCACTGTTAGTGGGAATGTAAATGGATACAGCCACTATGGAGAACAGTATGGAGGTTCCTTAAAAAACTAAAAATAGAACTACCATATGACCCAGCAATCCCACTACTGGGCATATACCCCGAGAAAACCATAATTCAAAAAGAGTCATGTAGCACAATGTTCATTGCAGCTCTACTTAGAATAGCCAGGACCTGGATGGAACCTAAGTGTTCATTGACAGATGAATGGATAAAGAAGATGTGGCACATATATACAATGGAATATTACTCAGCCATAGAAAGAAACGAAATTGAGTTATTTGTAGTGAGGTGGATGGACCTAGAGTCTGTCATACAGAGTGAAGTAAGTCAGAGAAAAACAAATACTGTATGCTAACACATATATATGGAATCTAAAAATAAAAATCATTCTGAAGAACCTAGGGGCAGGACAGGAATAAAGACGCAGACGTAGAGAATGGACTTGAGGACATGGGGAGTAGGAAGGGTAAGCTGGGACAAAGTGAGAGAGTGGCATGGACATATATACACTACCAAATGTAAAATAGCTAGCTAGTGGGAAGCAGCTGCATAGCACAGGGACATCAGCTTGGTGCTTTGTGACCACCTAGAGGGGTGGGATAGGGAGGGTGGGAGGGAGACACAAGAGGGAGGAGATATGGGGATATATGTATACGTATAGCTGATTCACTTTGTTATACAGCAGAAAGTAACACAACAATGTAGAGCAATTATACCCCAATAAAGATGTTAAAAAAATGTGGCATAACCACATAATGGAATATTACTCAGTAATGAAAAAGAATGGACTATTGAGAAATGCAATGACATGGATGAATCTCAACTTCATACAGTGTGTAGTTTTAAAAGGCTACATACTACATGACTAACCTGAATGATATTCTGGGAAAAGCAAAACTAAATAGAGACAGTATCAGTGGTGTCAAGGATTAAGGGTGAGGAGAGGAGCTGACTACAAAGGTGCAGGGCTGGGAATTTTTTTTTAATATCATGGAAGCATTGTGCTTATTGTTTTCTGGTGATAGTTAATATGAGTCTTTACTTTTTGTTAAATTTTGTAGAACTGTATAACCAAAAGTGAATTTTACTGTCTATAAATTTAAAAATAAAATAATGCCATGCTTCTGTATGATCACATGGTACTATCAGTATCTTATCCTTTACTCATTAAAAATGAATACTCAAAAAAAAAAAAAAAGGAAATGTGGCTGTTTGAAACAGAGGTGAGCTGTAAGCATAAAAGGCATCAGATTTCAAAGGCAGTGTGAAAAAAATGACTATATGACACTGTGTGTTGAAAAGATGATGTCCATTTATCATTTTAAATATTTTTAAACTTTTTTAATGTGTCTACTAGGAAATTTTAAATTACACATTTTTGGCCCACACTTTATTTTATGGGGCACTCTGGTGTAAATATTTGAGCTTCACACTGAGAATGGCCATGCCTTTACAACAGGACCAGCTGAAGTGATTTCTGGGATGTTAGGTTTAGTATGAGGATTTCAGACATTAGTAATTGGTGGGGTAGGTCGCTGGAGAGACAATGTGAGATTCTACCTAAGTCTTGGTTTAAAATTTTCGTTTATAAAGCAAAATCTCTGTAAGAGGTCAAAGTATATGCTTTACTACCATTTATTCTTCAATCTAAATGAGTTTTTCAGCTCCTTCCTTGGATGTGAACAAAAGATAGGGATTATATGAAATTTCCCAGTGATTGAAAGAGAAAGAATTATACTATGAAAGAGGAAAAGAAGAAAAGATGAAAAAAAGAAAAAAAAATTTTTTCTTATTTTTTCATTTAATTAATTAATTAATTTATTTATTTATTTGCGGTACGTGGGCCTCTCACTGCTGCAGCCCCTCCCATTGCGGAGCACAGGCTCCGGACACGCAGGCCCAGCGGCCACGGCTCACGGGCCCAGCCGCTCCGCGGCATGTGGGATCCTCCCAGACCGGGGCACGAACCCGTGTCCCCTGCATCGGCAGGTGGACTCTCAACCACTGTGCCACCAGGGAAGCCCCAAAAACCATTTTTTTAAAAAGAGAACAAATAGTGAACAAATGAGGATTTTTTTTTTTTTTTTTTAATTCACGAGATTGCCCTGGACCAGCCTTTGGCATCCTGATTAAAACCTGAGTGTAAGGGGACTTCCCTGGTGGCGCAGTGGTTAAGAATCCACCTGCCAATGCAGGGAACACGAGTTCGGGCCCTGGTCAGGGAAGATCCAACGTGCTTCAGGGCAACTAAGCCCCTGTGCCACCACTACTGAGCCTGTGCTCTAGAGCCCGTGAGCCACAGCTACTGAGCCCATGCACTGCAACTACCAAGCCCACGTGCTGCAACTACTGAAGCCCGCGTGCCTAGAGCCCATGCCCGCAGCGTGAGAAGCCACCGCAATGAGAAGCCCGCACACGACAACGAAGACCCAATGCAGCCAAAAGTAATAAATAATAAAATAAAATAAAAATTTAAAAACCTGAGTGTAAGCTCCTAAGAGACTTCTATGCTACTCAGTAGATGAGTGAGACTACCTCTTCCTCAGTTCAGTGTCTTTAGTGTCCAGGACAAGGACCAACAAAAGGTTTCAGATCTCATAGTGGTGATAAAAAGGAAGGGGACCATACCACACATGAATAGATCCCCTCCTTAGTGTGACCTTAGTGTGAAGGAAGCCAAATCAGCTTATGCTCCCCACAAATTAAATCCTGACTGCATAGTAGGTGATACCATGATTATAAGTTTTATTAGAATAATAGGTTTATTTTTTAAAACTTCCTATTTAAATGTTTCTTGGAAAACCCCACTTGGATTACGATTTTCTTAACTGACAAAAATTCTCACAACCTGGATGTGAAGTGCTCTATTGAAATAATTAAAATTATCATTGAAAACTTTTGAAAAAGCAGTGACTGTGGAAAACTAAAATAATATAAAATTTAAATTCAGTGAAATTAATATCTCTGTTGCATTTTCACTCTGAAAAAGTGGTTCTATTTTTTGCAAATTCCTTTATATTTAATTGATTCATTCAGTGACACCAGAAGAGTCCAAGAGAATCTTTTTGTTTTTGTTGTTGTTGTTGTTTTGTTATTTTTGGGGTTTTTTTGCGGTACGCGGGCCTCTCACTGTTGTGGCCTCTCCCGTTGCGGAGCACAGGCTCCAGACGCGCAGGCTCAGTGGACATGGCTCACGGGCCCAGGCGCTCCGCGGCATGTGGGATCTTCCCGGACCGGGGCACGAACCCGTGTCCCCTGCATTGGCAGACAGACTCTCAACCGCTGCGCCGCCAGGGATGCCCCCAAGAGAATTTTAATCACAAGTATACTGAAGATAAAAGTGAGTTCTGGCATTAATTTTTCTCTAGTTTTTAGAAAAATGCCATTATTGGTTAAAGACTTCTGTCAGCATTGTATACCTCTTGAAGTTCTTCAACTTATCTGCTTCTCTGAATGGCCGCTAAGGTAAATAAATGCATTATTTATTGCTAAAAAATTGAAAAAGAATAACATTATATCCCATTCTATCTCAATTGGCTATGAATTCTATTGCTATTGTCTTGATAAATACGGATCAATAACTTAATACTTAATAATACTCTTTGCACCCTTCATAGCCCTTTCAATGTTCCTTTTTCAGCTCCTTTATATGATTTGCAATTTTCTTTGCCTAGGAAACTATTTTCAAAGTCTTTTCTTGTGAAATAAAGTTATAACCCAGCTGAGTCTTTTAGGGATTACTCTTAGGCTTTATTTCATTAGCTAATTTTAATCTAATTAGTGCGAGGCAGGAAGCTTATAGTTTTGCATGTCCATAGAATTTTCTTAGCAACAGGTACTCAAGGAATGAGTAGATGTGGTCCTTTGTGCATTTTCACTAGTTAGAGTTTAAATGATAAGTATTAAACATTTTTTAAAGACCTAATTGAACGTTTATAAAAATCTCACTTTTTCTAGCTCTGTTGAAGAACCCATGCTGTCTTTTTTCTTCCTCTAGAAACTGTCATGTTTTATAGATGATGAACAGGAAGTTTATTCATAGCAAATTTAAAGTCATGCTCAAAACAGATTAGCTTAAAAAATAGCTCTGGGAAAACACATCTGTAATAAATCCTATTTCAAGTAACGTCAATAAAAAATATTTCTATGCAATAAACATGAAGCCTTCTTCCTGTTCTATTAGTTGAGCCTTACACTTTATTACACTGAATCCAAGATGAGAATGTTTTCACATTTTAATGTCTCCAAAAGGAGGATCACGTATTTGGCATTACTTTGCCTTGGCCCCTTCTCAGTGGTATATAATCCTGCATCCTATGATCAGTGGTATCTCAGATTTGATGAGGTACTCTAATGGTACTTGTTGATCTGATTGTAGGCACTTCTCTTCTGCCAGATGTTAAGACTCTCTTGATACGACTTCGTCTCATTTCCTGCCCATCATTCCATCCCAGGGCCCCAGTGCACATGCAGAGTTCTAGACCCTTCTCCCACCTCTGCATGTGCCTGTCCTGAGGTGAAGAGCAAAGACAATAGAAAGAAAGGGAAACAATAAATATTGGGGTCTTGGGGGAGTTATAGTTGTTATTAATTAAATTTGTAAAAATAATTTAAACAAGAAATCATCTAAAATTAATATCACACCATGTGGTACAACCTCACAATATAGGAGTTTAAACATTAATGGATTTAACTATGGACTGCAAGTAATCAGCAAACATATTCATTTTGAAAGACTTAAAAATGTAAATTGGCAGAAAGTTGAGCATTCACAGACTGAAACGGCGTTTCTAAAAACAATGTCGGAACTTGGCCATATGAGTTTAAGATGACAAGGAGAGGAGACTGCCTGGAGGGAGAATAGTGAGGGAAGGGGGATAACATTCCTTACGGATCCAGCATCAGATACTTTACAAATATTTTTTTAAAACTTAAAACTGAAAAGACTTCATCACCAAGGTGGCAGGGGAGGAGGTCTCAGCCTCCGAAAGCCAATAATATACAACTACCCATGAACAAGTACAGCTCTGGGAGAGCTCAGGAGAGGCAGCAGCAGCACAGCAGAGCACAAACCCTGAGAATAACCCCACGGAGAGGGCAGAAAGAAGTTCCGTTTTTCCTGCATCATCCCATCCCCCAGGCTGGCACTGCTCGGGGTGAAGAGGAAACTCCTGCCCAGAAGGTTCCTCCAAGGCAAAGGAGAGCAGGGAGAGCCACCAGCACCCCAACCACATGAAGGACCCACAGGGGTCCCCACCCTAAGGAAACCAGCACCAACAGATTCACAGTGACCCCCGTACAACGTTTGCCCCAAAGAGCCCTGTAGGTTTTCTCCTCTGCACACTCCAGCTGTTTGAGTCCCAACCCCTCTGTCCCAGTTGCTGGAACCCCAGCCAGTGCTGCCGTGGAGACCCCAGCCCTGGCACCCAGAGCATGCACATCACCAGTCACCACCAACACCTGCCTCTGTCCCTTTTACCGCTGGATCCGGAGGGGCTGCCGAGGACCCCAGTAGCTCTCACTGCCACCACAGATGTCCTGAAGCTCCTGGCACTAAGGACCACAGGGTTGGCGACATCACAGATCACAGCTATTTGAGCTGAGTCCCCACCCCACACACCTGAAGCTGCAGCACACCTCCACTCCACCAGGCCCAGGGGCACAGCACATTCCAGCACGGCCCCCTCCAGCAGGTGAAGGTCTTTCCTCACCAAAGCCAGTCCATAAAGTCTGGAAAAGGTGACAGCTTCTTAAATGTGCAGGCAACTGTGCAAGGCTACAGGGATCACAAAGAATCAGGGAAATATGCCACCACCAAAGGAACGCAATCAATGTCCAGTAAATGGCCCCAGTGGAATGAAGGCCCATGAATTGACTGACAAAGAATTCAAAATAATTGTTCTAAAGAAGCTCAATGAGCTACAAGAAACATGGATAAATCATTTGATGAAATCAGGAAAATGATACAAGAAAAAATGAGAAGTCCAACAAAGAGATATAAAACATAAAAAAGAATCAAACAGAAATTTTGGAGCTGAGGAATACAATGAATGAACTAAAAAACTCAATAAAGAGCTTCAACGACAGATGCAGTCAAGCAGAAGAAAGAATCAGAAGTCTCTGGAAGACACATCCAAACAGCCAACAGGTATATGAAAAGGTGCTCAACTTCACTGATCACCAGGGCAGTCAAATCAAAACCACGGTGAGATATCACCTCACACCCGTGCATGGTCTCGATTACATGTGGAAACTGAAAAAAAAAAAGTGAAACTCATAGTAACAGAGAGTGGAATAGTGGTTGCCAGGGAAATGGGGAGATGTGGGTCAAAGGGTACAGACTTTCAGTTATAACATGAATAAGTTCTGGAGACATAATGTACAGCGTGGTGACTATAGTTAATAATAATTACGTGCTGTATACTTGAAATTTGCTAAATTACTACATCTCAGGTGTTCTCACCAAAAAAAAAAAAAAATTAACTATTTGAGGTGATGTTAGTGTTAATTAGCGTGATTGTGGTCATCATTTAACATTGTATGCATATATCAAAACATCACATTGTACACCTTAAATATGTGCAATTTTTATCTGTCATCACAGCTCAATAAAGCTGGGGAAGAAAAACTTTAACTGTTATCTAAATTAAAAAGTAACTTTATAGAGTAAACCCTCACTGTTCTGAGATCAAACCTATGTTAGGTGAAAAATGCATACATATACGTAATGAAAAATATAATAAAAGAAAGACAAAGTTACATTACAGTAAAACATACCAACGGAAATTGCTAGTCTTAACAAGTTTTAACAGGCCTTTTGTTTATGCTTATATGTCAACTAGTCAAGGGTAGAAGGAAGATTATGGAGGCTTTACAGATTTTTAGAACCTGAAATATTAATGTGGTAAAATTTCAAGGAATAAGCATCACTTATCAATAACTATTTTAAATAATGAGAAAATGGCATCATGCATAACAGCATATCTGCAGGGTTTTTGAACATCCATACCATTCATATATAGTGTCGTATTTAATGCCACTTGATGAATTTGTCTTTGGAATTAGGGTTGATGACCAGACTGTCACGTCTTTTGTATCATCATTTGAATTCGGTAGGAAGACGTAGCTCTGCCACAGTGTGGTTTTCTAGGGCTTGTTTTCTCTTAGTTCTAACACTGGGGGTGCTTAGTATCATTTGAGGGAGCTTTGCCATTTTCCCACGACTGGAGCTTACAGCCCCAGAAAGGGCATGGCATGTTCATTTTTGGCTGAGGGGCCGATACTTGCATTTCTGATCATGATCAAAATTCAAATGTAAATAAAGTATTGGCCACAGGCATTAGCTTCAAGTATGATTTCCACCCAAGTTTGAAAGAAATAAAAGGTGTGATAGCCACCATGCATAGTTTATGAAAAGAATACAGAGTAATAGTAATTAAAGCCCAGGCTTTGTGTGTATATATTGTGAGAAGTATTGAAATATGCACAATGCATGTAAAAATACCTAACACTGGTCTCTACTTGCTAATGTGGTATTTATTTTTCTTCTTAGGGCTCTCTCTCTCTATTTTTAAAAATACTTTATTATTTTAGAGCAGTTTTAGGCTCACAGCAAAATTCCACAGAACGTACAGAGATTCCCACACACCCCTGGCCCCCATATATGCACAGCCTCCCCCATTATCAACATCCCACACCTGATGGTACACTTATTACAACTGATGTACCCAAGTAGACACATTATCATTACCCTAAGTCCGAAGTTTACATTTGGGCTCACTCTTCATGTTTTACATTCTATGGGTTTGGACAAATGTGTAATGACTTGTCCACAGTAATGGAATCATACAGAGCATTTTCACTGCCCTAAAATATCCTCTGACCTCTCTTGTTATTTGAAACATTGTAAAATTCACAACTTCTTTGAATTTATTTCTATATTTATTGAACTTGGAGAACGAAAGAGGCAGTTTTCTTACACATATCTACTAAATGTATTTAATAAATGAATGTGTATATTAGAGTCTGTATAATGATTACAGAGAGAGCCTATAGTAATTATCGACTTTAATGTTGGAAACATGTAAACACCAGCAAGGGAGACATAGTTCACTTCCCCTTCATTAGTTTGTCACAGTGTTCTTCTGCAATCTCTTGCAGGTAATTTAGTTGTTTCTTATAAAAATTTCCCGTGACAGTCATCTACCTATAGCGTTACAAAGAAAGTCAGAGTTCAAGGAAATGGTCACCCTGCAAAGATTAAGTAAAGGCTGGCTTAACATGAAATGGATTATGTTTCTGTAGTTTTAAAGACTACCATCCTGGCTATTTCTGATTTTCTCTTTGATTTCAAATGATCCCATGCATATATAGGAGTTCCAGTGAGTGATGGCAGAGAATCTTTCATTAAATATCACTGCCTAAATTTGTAGCCAGAGACCTGAAGAGAAGAAGCTGTTGTCGATTTTCCTGCACAGAGCAGAGAGATTGTTAGGCATCCAAAGTAGCTTAAGAAAAGCTCAGTAACCAAGAGGGTGCTTTCTGCTGGCAGAGTTTTGATTTGACTTAAGAGGAACGGCATTGCCCTGCACAAGGAGGTTGGTAAAAGAGAAAACAGTGCGAGTCTTAAGTAAAAGATGTCACAGTCAATGAAGGGAGTTTGGCCACAGACTGAACAAAATGATTCCATTTAAAAATTTATTTTAGCGCAACCCTTTAATTTAATTCTAAAACAATTTTGACTTCCGTGCTCCTAAAAGAATTCTAGAAATTAAAAAATAAAACCTGCAAGAAATGAGATTCAGAGGGTTGAACTGGGAAAATTAGGCTCATATTAAGCCGATACTTTTTTCTCATGAAAGAAAATTCATGCCAGTCTACCTTAGCATGATAACACGCGGGTCATTACTACTAATCGGCTTATCTCCCTAGAGCAAACATCAGTGCTGGTTTCTCTAGATAGCCATTGTGTGTGATGAGGGCTGCAGCACACAAGGTAAAGGAAATGTGATTTTTATTAAAGCAACAGTTCTTGTTCTCATCCCGTGTAAGTTTAAAATATAATACGTGACAACTGTAGGGGCTTCCCTGGTGGCGCAGTGGTTGAGAGTCCGCCTGCCGATGCAGGGGACGCGGGTTCGTGCCCCGGTCCGGGAAGATCCCACATGCCGCGGAGCGGCTGGGCCCGTGAGCCATGGCCGCTGAGCCTGCGCGTCCGGAGCCTACAGCCAAAAATAAATTAATTAATAAGCTCCTTCCCCCAACATCTTCTTTAAAAAAAAAAAAAAAAGTAATATGTGACAACTGTAGTTACATGATTATTTTATATAAATTAATGAAGACTTGGCTTCAGCTAAAGCACTTTGTGAGCACAATAAACATTTCACAATCAAGTGTTGAGCGCCATCTGTGAATCAGGTCCTGGGAGGACCAGTTTGGGGTGATGATCTCACACAGAAAACACACACCCTGATAGGACTTGAGTACCTTCTACGTGTAGGAGCTGTGTTCTCCCTCGTATTTATGTAGACGTATGGAACTCTCACTGATGTCTCACGAAACAGTATGGTCACAGTGTTGCCTCTTGGCGGATGAGGACCTGGGAGGTAAAGTCAAGTGGAGATGTTCTTTCAAAGTCACCACTAAGTGCTAATGGTAAGCTGAAGCAGCCAGGATGTGGCCGATGGTGCCCGTGTCCACAGCTTCACTCTGGAGAAGGAGAGTCACAGATGCTACAAGATCTCGGGGCAGGAGGAGGGTCCCTCTGCCAGACTGGCAGTGGGTGGTCTGGAGCTGAGCAGACCCAGGGGCTGGGGTGGTGGCTGGGTAGGAAGTCGACACATTGGATGTGAAATGCTATTCAGACCTTAAGAATGAGGAGTATGTCTACAATATTAGTTTTAACTGCTGGGTAATATTCCGTTGTTTGAATTAAGCACTACTTATTCCTCCATTCCCTTCACTGAGGAAGGCTCCCAATTTTTGTTTCTTCAAAATGTTGGCTGAAAAGCAAGTTGTGTTAATACACGTAGACATGATACAGTTAGGGTAAACCATTACAACTAGTTATTTTTATGAATATGTACAGATGCAATGACATGAGAAGGTTGTTTTGAGTATTAAGATGATTTACTGTCTATAAAATGCATACAACAGTGCTTGACACACAGAGTTTGTATTATCAATTTCACACCCATTTCAGAGTAGCTCTTTGTATTTCTCTTCCCTCTATTTTTTTTTTACCCAAAAATACTACTTCTGCTGAAAACCTATGTATTTTACCCATTTACTTGTCTATTAGTTCTCTTCTTGTCCTGGAAGGAAAGCTATAGGAAGGCATGATTTTTGTTTATTTTGTTTACAACTATATTTCCAGGACTTAGAACAATGTCAGACACAGATTAAGCAATCAACATAGTTTCAAAATGAGTAGTGATAGAATATATCACTATAAATAATTGGCGGGAGTAGCAAGGAACTTGCGTTTTGTGTGTAATAATATCATGAAGGATAACTATGTGCCAGTCCTTGTTCTAAATGCTCTCTGTTGTCTGTGTATTTGGACGAGCCTAGCCATGATGTAGCCCATGGGCCAGCTG